CACCGCCGTGTCCGTGAGCGTCACGGAGCCGTGCCTCCTGCCCCTGCCGCCGCCCAGCGCAGGGCCGGCTCCAGGCGCACAAGGCGAGGGCAGAGGACGCTTTTCGGGGCAGCGCACGTGCGGAGCCAGCCCCTCCGGCGGGAGCAGCCCCAGCGCCTCCTCGGCGGCCAGAAGAGATCCTGCCCTTGCGCCCGCTGCATGCGAAGGGGCAGAGCAGCAGCTTTCTGCATCCAGTGCCGGGCGTGGAGGGGCCCAGGCCGTCCGACTGTCCTCCGCAGGGTCCGTCTCCAGGAGGAAGAGAAGCAGGTTGTTCCTAGTAGCCAAGACCGGCTGCCCCAGCACAGCCGAAGCTCTGCACCAGGCCTTGGGCTGGCCCGGCTCTGGTGCACCAAGGTAGACGCGGCCTGCCCCCGCGAGACGGGGTGGCAGGGAGACCGCAAAGGCACACCCGAAGGAGAAGCAAGGCTGGGAGACAGGAGAAAAAAAGTGGGTTTTGTAGAAAAGAGAGCTTGTCCTCGCCTTTGACAGGAACTTGGGTGACTCTGGAGAAGCGCAGCTTTGCACGCAAGAGATGAGGACAAGGCCGCGTGGTACAGATTCCACCATGCAGACGGGATGACCCACAAGAGAGGAGTTCCCAACCTGCAGGGATCTCATGGGGAAGGCAGGGCCCGAAGGTCAAGTTACCGGTCTGTAAGCTCAGACTGATAAAGAGCCAGCATCATCGGCTCTCCACGCCAGAACGACACGAAGCCTTGACAAGACACGCCTGCTTCCCGGCTCCTGAGCACTTCCTCCGTGCAAGAGGCGGCAAGGCTGGATCTGCAGTCAGCTACTGCTGGTGCTGGTATCAGCACTGGGGAAGGGACCCAGCACGGTTGCCAATACCATTGGGATCCCCCATGTCCTGCAGCCTGGAGCCGACAAGGAACAGGACCCAAGCTCTGAACTGGCACATAAGAAGAGGCTGAGAAAGTTTGAGAAATTTTCTAGGCTTTTATCCCCTGGAAACAGACAAAAGCATTTTAAAGAGGGTATCAGGAGAAGTACTTTTTTTTATTTTGGTTGAATAGGCCAGTGGAGAACAAATGTCAGATGCACACATTCACAGGTGTTTGCGCAAGTTGATCAGGATTTCACTGTTGTGTTGTAGCAGCACAAATGTTTCCAAGAAGTTACAGACCACAGCTGAAGACGAGAGGTTTCACAACAGTCTGAGTTCACAAGACACTGGGTAAGGGGGGCGTGGAAGAAGAGGTTACTGAAAAAAGATTGCCAGTTTTCTCTCTCACCTTGTGCCTCCAAGAGTCCGTTCCTGTTTAGTGGCCTGGCTAGTGAGATGCACCAACAAATTCTTGCCTTTGCTCTTTTTAGCATTCAAAATGAGAAATTTCTGGGGTTTTTATATTTAAGTCTGAAACTGAATTCTCAGCATCTTCCTGTTGCGAGATGCCATCACGAACAGAAGGAAGGGTAGAAGGGACATTAGCAGCATGGATCTAAGGAAGAAAATCACGAAGGATATTCTTATCTTGAGGCACGGAGCATCATTTCCCCAATCCCAGTTCATTTTCCCATGGTTCACAAGGAGAACCTGCTTCTCACTGGCCAAAAGCATGGTGTTTGTTTTAAATCAGTACCTCATCTGCAAACAGACATTCAGCCACATGAGTTCCTGGGTACTTTAACACCTGCATCTTCCAGATGAGCTGTGGCAAAGAGTGGAGGTTCCAAGATGTTTCCTTAAAGCTTAAAAAACATGTTTTGTACTGATTTTCATCTATGAGAAAAGCCACTTGTGGTGACACTATTGGGACAGTACTGAAACGCAATGTGAGTTTGTGAGAGAGAACAGTCATCTTTTAAACACATGAAACAGAACAGAAAGACAAAACCCAACTCTCTAAAATTAGTAATGACAAGATCCCCAGGGGGGAAAAAAGAAAATGTACATCTCTATTGCATTTTGCTGTCATCCTGTTCATCACGTTCCATTTACACTGAAGCTAACCAGGTCCATTATAAAAAAAACACAAAGTAACTGTTAAATAAATAGATGCTGATGTTAGATGGAATTTCAGGGGGTGTTATAACTCATCGTTGGTCTTGCTCTCTCCTCCAGCTTCTTGCTTCTGTGTTTTCCCAGGTTCTGCAAAACAAAGAAAGAACAAATAGAGTCAGTCAGCCAGCCATGCAAATACACTTTTACTAGACACACGGCAGATGTGACTTGAACATTTCTGTACTAAAATTAAACTAAGTCAGCAAACTCTCAACCTGCAGGGTGCCCACTCTTGGGCAGTAGGAACTAGACGTAAATATCGGAAGGTGGCAATTACACACCAAAGGCAATTTCTAGCACCCTTAGGTACATAACATGCTATGCAGGATTATACTGCATAGGTTAAAAACCTTTCTTTAACGAACATGATTACAAGCAATCCCTTTATGAAGCCTTCACAGAAGTTTAACTTTTTACTATTTATGGAATTTGCTTGATGTCCGCATTTTATTCAGCAG